CTGTGGTTGGAAACATGTCTGGTTTTAAAGCTTGTTCTGCACTGACTGCTGTGAGTGTAAAACAGTCTTTCTGTGCTTTGCTTTACCAATCTGAAATGGGGATTTTTATCTAAACATACTGAGTTCTTACATTGTTACTCTTTTTAAGATAAATTCTAAGCGGTATTATTACTGTCAGGTTACTGTATTGATTTATTCTTTATAGGAATAACTAGAATCGTAATTTTGCCAGATCTTTGAAAAAGTTTTGTCAGTTCTTGATTGTGTGGTCAGTGTCAGAGTAAAAGTGGAACCATGTAGTTCCTTCTTTTATATATAAGCCTGTTATACAGAGCTCTTAGTTTCAAAGGAGCAAACTTAATTCAGCAAGAGGGTCCTGAGGACACAAATTGTTGTTGGAAATGCTGCAGGCTTTGAAAACTACTGGATTTCTGACTGATCATTTTCCTTCCCTCAGGTTGCTGAAGCTGTTGCGACGTTCCTGATCCGTCACAGGTTTACAGAGCCCATCGGTGGATTCCAGTGGTAAGGCTCTGCTAGTGCTAGAGCTGTGCAGTCCTTGAGCAGAGCTCTTGCTCTTGCTCCCTGCATGTTTGGCTCTCAATGTGAGAGGTTAGAGTTTTAGCATAATGCTAAAAACCACATGTAAACAAACAGCTTTGAATCACAGCCAGTAACGTGTTTGATGTTTACGTGTTCTCTCTAAACTTCTCGCGTTTTAACTTGTGTTAATGAAACCTCCTTCCTTGGAGGGGAGGAGTGAAGCAGTTCCTCCCTAGCTGATTCCTTTCTTTATAGCCTGCCAGGAGGCAGAATTACAAGCTTTATGGTATTTAGTTTAAATAGCATTTTATTTAAGTAATCAAGGCCCTATGTTTTGGAAACAACTTGCACCACACTTCTTTGGCCAAGAAATACTGGTGAGATTAGACAGATAAAGCTGCGTGCTTCACTTTGCCAACTTTCCATACTTATCTCATGTGTTTTCATATCATAATGAACTGTAGAAGCCAGGCCTCTGCAATCAGCCACACAGCAGTGAGAGTAGGTTGTGACTGATAAGGTTGATCGGATCTTACAGTACCATAAAGCTAGTAACTAAACCAATACTTAGACCTCATAGAAGGTGCTAATCTGTTTTACCATTCATCTGAAAGATGATCCTAAAATAAGCATGTTTCTTAAGCAGTCCTGAAAAGTCTTCCTGCTTCTAGCTAAGAATTCTTTAACAAAAGCTAGAAGCGCCAAAATGTATGATGCTGTAGGACTGGCAATGCTAAAGAGGTATTGCTGGATGATCTCTTTCTTTTTTCCCCCCTTTATCCTGTGCCCTTGGGGATGAAAAAGTAGAAATGTAGGAAAATGTAGGACTGTGGACTGCATATTTTAAATCCAGTGAAAGGATATAGTGTAGGTTGATGTGTGAAGGGTGAGAGAGGGAGAAGACCAAAGGTCTGTACTGCATTGTAATGTTGAATCTCCACCAGGTATTTGGCAACCTGTGCTATCTCTGTGAGTCTTTGAGGGCGTTAGCCTGTTGCTCCTGCTATTATGGTTGTGGCAAAAGCAGCTTTAAAACAAGAGGCTTGGAGAAAGTGAGGTGGCTTGCTGGTCTCATTGTGTCCTTAAGCCATAGACAGCAACATGTTAAGCTTTTGTGCTTCTCACTGTTATGTAGCTTACAAGTTATCATGATTATTGAACGCATCAATGCTGATTTTAACTTGCATGATAGACTCCTTTTGGCCTTGTTTGGGTAATCAACTAAATTTAGGGTGTCACAAAGTCAAATATCTGCAGAGAATACCTTGATTTTAACGTGTGACCTTTCTTCCACTCTCCTAGTGTGTTTCCTGCTTGTTAATACCCTGGTGTCCTCCAGCACTGAGTCCTGTTGTAAATAAACTGCACCAGAGGCCACTGTGATGTATCCGTATCCTTTCATCTCTCCAGTTCAGCAGCAGTGAGAAGTTGGTATGAGATTCATCCCCTAGAACTCGTTCTCCAGAATGTGTAAATGCTTAGGGACTTCCTTGCGGGGAAGCAGCTTGTACTGAAGACCATGTGCTCTTCAAGCCCTTGAAAAGCTCTTCAGGCCCTTGAAAGTGGGCTCCTCTCTGCTGCCACAAGTAAAGACCTCCTGAAATCCCAAGTAGTTGATCATACTGATCTCCATCAATTCTCAGGCTTTCTTGGACCCAATGGCAAAGGGGCTGTTGGCAGTCCAGATCCACTGAGGGCATTGCAGCATAGCCAAAGGCTTCAGGATTTCTCCATGGAATCATCTAATCGTCTTTGAAGTGCCCCTTAGTTTTGTTTTTTATATACATATTTCTTTCCCCTAAAGCAGATGAGGAATCGACTTCATTGGGAGCTCAGGTTTCGTCTCACCAATGTCAGCCTTATGAGTTAAGCTGTGGGAACAGCCTAAATGCTACTTTCCTGTGCAAAGTTGGACAGGACTGTAAAACAAAAGGCGAGGGGGGACCGTGAGCTCCATTTCAGAGTCTTGCAGTTTTCTTAATGCTTGTTTCAAGTTCTCACTGAGAAAAATATCCTGGATAACTCTGTACTGCACACACATAACAGGCAGGGGACTCTGGGCCTGGGTTTATGGGGAAGACCCAAGAGCAGCAATGACAATGTGGTCTGCAGGCAGTTTGCCTGTTTGGCCATTCTGTGCCTGGAATGTGTTTATGCTTCCCTTCTTGTAGCTGCTACACACAATTGAGCAGAGATCGGCGCCTTTTGTGTGAAAAAAATGCAAAAAGTGCAGTAGATAAAACCCTGGAAGAGCTTGGAGTCAGTCCTGCTGGTGTAGGCAGCTGCTGCTGCGTTATGCTCCCCCCAGTATTAGAGGAAAGACTTCGTTTTCACTGTAACTTCCTAGATCGTTTCACTGCCTGCCTTCCATATTTCCATGTAAATGCAGTAGTTACGCGGAGAGCTTTTCTTCAGGGTTAAATTATCCACAGACAGTTCGTCAGATTGCTTTCACCTAAGAATCACGCTTGAGCATAAGAGCAGACATGTTTTGGAGCAGTTTTCCTCAATATTTTTCTGGTGGATGTCTGAATTTTTTTTTTTTTTTTTTTTTTTGCCTTGTGTCCATAACCCCTTGATGCTGTATGATGAAAGCAGTATTTTAATGCTGTTTTGTTGAGGCAGAGTTCTGTTGTTGGCTTGATTTGGGAGCTGCAGTGTGCATCTATGTGTACGTTCTGTGACGAGAGCCGTCATGAATTCTTGGCATTTGAGAGGTGCAGGTGGGGCAAAGGGAGACGGTGTGAAGAGCTGGCAAAGCCCGGTTTAGCTTTGGCATTTACCCTGATGGAGAGCCACTCATCTCCTCTGATTCATTTGCATGTGAGCCCTGGACACAGCAGTCGTGGCCTTGCTCTGTGTCCCTTCCCCGACACATGAGGGTAGGAAATGCCTGAATTAGAGACAAGAAAGCCTCCTTCCAGAGAGCTCTCCTCTCTCCTGGCACTTTGGCCATCAGCACTCAGGTGTTAAAAGAGCAATTGCTGGCTCCTGGCACTTCCCTCCGTAAGTCACTGTGTTAATTATTGCATTAGTTTTCTGTGACCTTGATGTAATGTCCACCCCTGTTTTAGTTGCTGATGGATTAAATGGATCTTCAGTAGTTGAGATGGAAAATAGCACTTTCCCCAGCTGTATCCTGAAGATTGGCAAAATTCTCAGTCCTTTCCAGGTGACTCCTGTGCTCAAATTAGTAGAGACTAAAATAATAGTGTGTGTCCAGAGTCTCACTTCACGGGATAGCTAAGCATGTGCCTGTTACCATACTCATGAATGATCTCGGTAAAGTCACATTCCTCCCTGCTGAAGTAACTTGGAGGATCTGGCTTTGAGTGATTCGTTGCGGCAAGTCTTTGTGTTTGCCTCTCATGTTATCCCTTTCATTTGCTTTTACAGTTTGCGAGATATTAAAAAAAAAAAGCCTCTATGGAAAGCAAAAGAAAATCAGTTTTGTATTCTGTAGAAGCACCATTGGAAAATGAATGACTGTTTCTGAATCCTGTGGGCTCCCCAGAATTATATTTTGTTGTTAACATTTGAGAAGTGAGTGAAAAAATAAATATTTCAACAGCCTATTTAATGTGGCATTGCTCCGTGCCAAGCTCTCAGTCCTGACTTGCACAGAATAGGGAGCCGTTCAGGGACTCATGAAGTGCTGGCTTCAAAAAAAGGTGACTACAGGGACAGCAGCAATAGCGTGTGGGTGGGTGGAGGGGGAATTCCTTTTGGCTGTGTCACGCCACATACGTTTTTGAGACTGTACTTTTGTCTGAAAAATATTCATGCTCCTGTTGCAGTTTCGTCTCCTTTTTCAGGGAGCTGCGGGCAGAGATAAATGGTATTTAGGTGAAGGATAACAGACCATGGTAAAAGTAACTGCAGAGAGAAGAAAGGTTTTCTTTGACTCATGAAAAATGGGGACATCTAGAAAATCCCTCCATAACTACCAGCTTTTCACTGCATTTTTCCACAGCCTGCAGCATCGTACTGTCTCTGTGTAAAAGCAGATAAACAGGAGGAGGCTGTCTGACTTGAAAGGATGCTGGTTTTATACTGGCAGTTTTGATTATTTAGAAATCTCTCTTGCTTTTGTTCCAGTTGTTGGATTGAGGATCGGTGGAAACTTTCACAATGGAAAAATCCCAAGGCTTGGCAGGAGCAGAAGATGCAGTTTGGGAGGCTGGTTTGTTGCAGGGTTCACTTCTTAAATTTTTCAAATCAGACCCAGGACAGGTTTTGCCAGCTCCCAGGTTATATGCTCCGGACAAAATCCTTGGTGACTTGTAGATTCCAGGAGCATTGACATTGTTGGAAAAAGGTATTTCCTGTATTGCCGAAGCGTATAGTTCTGCTTTGAATACAGATCCTGTGAACGCAGAGCTCAGCTGCATGTCTTTGTACATGCTTAAGCCAGCACAGTTCCTCTGTGCTGGTGTTTTGAAAATGCTGTTAGTGACCGGGGTGATCGATACGTACAGACGCAGACACTTGGTGTTGAAATGTTTGCCGAATCGCGTCACTGTATGGAGCTCGCTTTTTTTTTTGAGCCTTGTCTTTTTTGTCTTCAGCCTGCCCTGGTCCAGATACAAAGTGAGTGGGAGGTGATACCAAAGCCAATTAAAAATACCGATGCTTATTGTGACTGGAGATCAGTTTCTGTGCAACCGAGACACCCTCTGAAAAAAAAAAGCACTATAGTAAAGCACGGAGTGACTTCTAAACTGAGCACACAGTCGGGGAGCTCTCAGAGGTGGTGGTGGTGTGATAGATCCCATTGGTAACACCAGTAGCCCAGTAAATACTGCGCTGGGGCTGTTCAGAGTGAACCTCCTTGCTTTTCCTCTCTGCAGGGCAGGGCTGAGCAATTGCGATAGGGCAAAGTCGCTTGCTGGCTTCTCGTTCAGCCAGACCATCCCAGGACTCTGAAAACTTTATCAGTGTGCTGCCACATTCAAGAGGGTCTTCGGTGAACGGGGGAGCCCCTGGCAGGTGCTGGAGCAGGAGAGAGCAAACAGCTTTGTGCTGATGTTCTCCACCTCCTCAACTTTAGCACTGACGTTTTTCCTCCCCTCCACTGTTGCCTTTTATCTTGGGTGTGGAAGGGCCTTGGAGGAGAGATCCTCGGAGGTGTCTGGCAATCAGCCATTCACTGGTTTGAACTGGTGCTCAACCCTGCTGAAAATCTAGACCTTAGATCTTCAGGTAAGGTCAAAAAAATAGTTTGCCAAAACAGGGTTGCCATTTCCAAGAAAACTTGGCCCTGGTACATTATAACACCCGTTTCTGAGCCTGGCACTCTGCTCACAACCTGAAACTGCCGTTTGTGTTGCCCAAACCTGCCTCCCTTGGCTGTATCGTCTGCCCTGATCCGTCCGATAACGCTGCACCCTCAGCACCTTGTCCGTAAGGCATCCGAAACCTGCAGGATAGTGCTTGGGTGTTTGCTCCAAGCTTTGCTGTCGGATGCCTGGCCGGTTTCAGCCAAGCTTTACCAGTTTGGTGGGGTGACCTCTTACCACGTGCTACTGTTTCCAAAAGGAAAATGTGTGTGTGTGTGTCAGTTCTCCAGAGACTGCGCTCTGTGTCCCGTGTCAGCCTCCTCCTGTTCGTGTCTTGTTCCGTGTCCGTTTCTCTCACCTACAAATAAAGCATCTGTGAAAAGCCTGGGGTAGGAACTGCTCCTTTCCCTTCAGCTGCGGTACTCGGGCTCCTCGGAGCAGCCTGTGGAGGAAGGGTGTCAATCCAGCTGTTCCTGGGACATCCCCAGGGCCAGACCCAAGCCTTGGGTTTTTCTGGTGACTCACGGAAGCCTCTCGTCATCTGAAATATTCCCCTATCCCTTCTCTGCGCTCCAGCATGGGGAGGAGGGGGGTATGCTTTAGCCACAGCTTTTGCTTTTTCCCCTCCTCTCCACAACCGATGGCTCCCACGTGTACAGAAACATCTGAAAGTAATAAACCATGGCGCTCTGGCTGTTAAGTAACCTGTGCTGTGTTGGACCGTCTGTTTTATAATACGCTGAAGAGGAAGGAATTTGGGGAAATTTGCTCTGAAATTTTGCAGACTGTTTTACATTCCAGCGCGGCTTAACAGAGCCCAAAAGGGCTTTAGCATCCTCCTACGGTAAGGGGCTGGAGCCCCATGCTTAAGCTCCCATGTCCAAATGCTGCTCACAGCTCATCCCCTGTGTGCATCCCCAGGTTAATCCTGGGCTGGATAAACACAGCCATGGAGTGATAAATGCACATTTTTGAACCCAAAGTGAGCAGTAGAGCCGTGGGCGAGGTCTGCCTGGTGTTTCTATCCCCCTCCCCAATTTTTGTCCTTTCCAGCTAGCAAAGAGGCTGAGAGATGATGGGGGGCCTGCACCCCCCTAGGTAGCTGGATCTCCCCAGGCTGCGGTACCCTCTACCTCTCCATCCAGGAACTCTTCAACCTCATCCAAACATCGCATAGATGAGGCTGGATGGATGCGGAGTCGGGGAATTTCTATGCAAGGGCACATGGTGTCCTCCAGCTTGACTCTCGCTTCATCCGGGGCTGTCCCCCATCGGAAGCACCCGGGGAGAGCAGCGCGGGCTTCCTGCCTGATCTCCAGGCGCTGCCGGAGAGCCCTGCTGCCTCTTTTTGCTTTCCAGTCACGCAGGTGCTGCGGTTGGGCTGGAGAAAGGGAGCTTGTCTGCGGGGCCCCGGGGGAGCAGCGCTCGCGCAAGCGTGGTCTGAGCACGGGCAGGCTGGGGGCCAGGGCGGCTGGAAGGCATCGGCTGCCTTCTCCCGCCCCAGGGTCCCTCTTACAGCAACTGCCCTGCAAAAAAACCCCACCCTTCTGGGGTGCAGAGGAGGGGAACCCTGTGTTGTTGTCGGGGACGAGAGCAGAGTGTGGGGCTGCACAATCAGGCCTAAGATGCAGCCAGGCACTGCAGCAGGTTTATTTGAGGAAGGATAGCACACTCTCTTTGCTCTGGTCCTATATGACCATTCTGTTCACTCTGAAGCCTACTGATTACTGTAGAAATGCCACGTCACTAACTGCCAGTCGTTTTAGCAGAGAGCCTTTCCATCAAGGGCTAGAGGGGGGGGTTTAGGTGCATTTAGGCTGGAATCAGGGGTGGGGGGACACAGACACATACACACCCCCACATCATCCCGTCGGGTACCACACAGGTATTTCTTCCAGACTCCAGTTTAGTGTCTTTTGACTTTATTTTCACCGGATTCGGTCATAGCTGAGCAAGTGCCACCACCCCCAATAGCATCCCGTGCCGCTGCCACCCCCTTCCCTCCCTCCTCTTTCTGCAGCCTTGGGGACACGCTGTGCCGGGGTGGCTTTGCCACCCATGGGTGCCACATCCTTGAGCCTACGGCAGCTCAGTCGTGTGGGTCAGTGCTGCACGGCCGTCGAAACTCCTGCCCGTGCTCGTGGATCCACTTATTTGCCACTGGAAGGGACAAGGACAAGGACACTCATCTGCCTCTGTCCCCCTGCACCCTTCTCCGACCCCGTGCCAGTATTGGTGATGTATTTTTCCCTATTATCCAGGATTTTTCTGGGTTCCCAGCACTTCTTGCCTCCCTACTGGAAGAGCCACCCCTCCAACCCTGTGTCACCCCAAGGTGACACCAGGCACCGTCTCTCACCCCACTTGTCCCCAGCCAGGACGGGGCAGCCGGCGTGCAGGGTGTCCCCGTCACCGTCCCCGTTCCTCCGCAGGTTCCACCAGAAAAGAGCCGCGTTCTGCGGAGCAGAGAGGGGATGGGAGCCCTGGGGTTTGGCACCCCAAAAACAGAGCTGGGAGACCTGGGGTGTAACACCCCTAAAACAGAGCTGGGAGCCCTGGGGTTGGGGTTTTGGCACCCCAGATCAAAGCCAGGATCCCTAGAATTGGGGTTGGCACCCCAAAACAGAGCCAGGAGCCCAAGGGATGGGGTTTGGCACCCCTAAAACAGAGCTGGAAGCCCTGGGGTTGAGGTTTTGGCACCCCAAGACAGGGCTGGGATCACCGAGATTGGATTTTGGCATCCAAAACACAGACTGGAGCCCCAGGGTTAGGGTTTGGCACCCCAAAACAGATCAGGGAGGCCCTGATTTGGGGTTTGGCATCAGGACGGGCTCGGCCACAACTCCCTGCAAGAGACAAGACGCAAGAGAGCTGCGTCTCCCCCTCTTGCCCGCTCACGGGGGCTTGTGCGGATCTCCCTCACCTTAACCACGGGCACGCTGAAGTTGGCGTAGATGAAGGCGGTGGAGCCGCCAGCTTGCACCGAGCTCAGCTGGAAAAGGAGCAAAAATATGAGCTGTGGCCCTCCCCCTCCCCCTGTGATATTGCTGCTTTGCATGGGGAAACTGAGGCACAGAACCTCCCTTGATCCCCCACAGCGCTTCCCTCGCTATGGCATGGCACAAGCTCTTAAATACTCTGCAGACATTGTCATTTAACACCGCACCACAGTCTGATTTAGGGCTGCCCTCGCCCATCTCCAACCCCATTCACTCTGAGCCCTACTGATGACCATGCAAGTGCAGTCTCTCTAGGCCTGGAAATGGGGGGGGACTCACGTAGATCATGACCGTGGCGATCCTGTTGCCTGACTTCATTCTGTAAAGGGGGCTCTTCCTGGACTGCCCCAAGAGCGAGGAGATGGGGACAGTCAGTCCCGTGGGGACAGTCAGTCCCACGCTGACACGGCTCGGTTCGGAGGCACTTCATGCCCTAACAGAGCTGGTGGCTCTGAGCTGCCCCCGGCGAAATCTCTCCCTCTCCCTTCTTTTCTCTCCCTCCCTCCTTCCTCCCTCCCTTCCCAGGAACATCCCAGGCACCATCCCAGAGATCACCACAGGGACACCCCCAGGCACCTCCCCCCAGGCAACCATCCCAGGAGCATCACGGGATCACCTCAGGGTCCACCTGCAGGAACATCTGAGGGACCATCCCAGAGACCACCCCAGGAACCCCCCTGGGCACCATCCCCAAGGTCCACCTCCAGCAACATCTGAGGGACCAGCCCAGAGACCACCCCAAAGACCACCCCAGGGGCCATTTCCAAGAACATCCCAGGGACCACACTGGTGACCATCTGAGAGACCACCCCAGGAACCATCCCAAGATCACCCCAAGGGCCATCCCAAGAGCACCACAGGAACCACCCTGGGCACCACCCCACAGACCACCCCATGGACCACCCAGGCAGTTCCCTGACCGTAGCATGGTCGAAGTGTGGCTCGTAGTGGGTAGGGGCCCCCCAACCCATAGTTGCCCCCCTGCAGGTACTCAGCATAGGGTGGCCGTAGGTCCAAGCCGGTGACGGCAGCAATGCGCTGCTCCAACGCCCGCACCACCGGGTCGGCGGTGTCCTTCAGCCAGGCGCTGCGGGAGCACCCACATTCAGCCCCCCTGAATTCATGCATGGTTGGGCTTAACCCTCATGGCACTGCTGGGTGTGGAGGACCCAGGCCTCCCCAGCATGGCTTCACTGCCACCTTGGTGGTGGCAATGGGGCCATGGTGGTCCCACTGCCTGGAGGACAAGGGATGGGATGGCTTCTACCTCTTGCTTATCCGGTACTCGGCTTTCTGCTGCTTCTCCCCAGAGGCGACCACGGACCTCTGCAGCTGGAGGACACACGGTGGGGGGGGATGTTGCTGCAGATGGGGACTCTCACACTAAGCAGGGACCCCACTCGAGGGCCAAATTGGGGGGTTTATACCAGCTGCTTGCCAAACATCCCCACCCCAAGGTGTCCCACTGGGGTGATGGAAGCAGGGATAGCAGCTGGATCCAACGCAGTTGGGTGTCACCAAGTCAAGCCTGGCTGGGAAGGGGTTTAGGTGCATGCATGGACCTGGTTTCTCCCCAGAATCTTTTGGGGGGTTCAGATGGAGTTAAGCTGGGCTCATCCCCCTCAGGGGCTCACTGCAGAAAGCTTTGGCTAAGCCCTGCCTTAAAACCCCTTCTCTCTCTGCATG